CTTAACCACTGAGCAACACCAGCTGGACATACAAACACTTATTTTAGCACTTCCTAGGTGTCAGGCAGGGTCCTAAGACCATTAGGAATAGTATATTAATTTTAACCCTCATGTAACCACCATGATATAGGTACTACCATAATGTCTATTGTATAGATGGGGAAACTGGACCACAGAGAGATTAGGAAACCTGCTCAAGGTCACAGCTAAGCATGTTATAGGCAGAATTTGAACCAAGGCACCTGGCTCCAGTGTCCATACTGTTGTTTGTTCTCTGGTCTGTATTAGTGATTTAGTGGGAAGTAAATGAGATAATAATGGGGGTGACATTCAACTGAGAGGCTTTTGCTATGATGTCAATGAGGTAGAGTCACGGGTGGAATCAGTGTAGTGTAATGGGGGAGCTCAGACACTGGAGTCCATGTAGTCTGGGTTCAAACTCGCTGTACCACCTACCAGATGGGTGTCCCTAGTCCTGACACGTCGCTCCACTCCTTCTGGTAATGTCATACATACCACCCTTGGCAGGGCATGGCCTCATGGTGAGTCAGGTGTACTTTCTGAGCTCATAACTTTGGGATTGGCCAGGTGACTTGCTCAGACTGAGAAACACATACTCTGGGTGGCCATTGTGTCTCCTGCCAGTGCCCAGTTTGGGACAGAGTAGAGAGGAGCCACCACAGCTAACCTGCAGTTATATGAGTGAGTTAAATACTGTTGTATGACTCATCTAGACTTGTCTATTTTACTAAGTGAGAAGTGAGGATAAGTCTTATTTTGTCAACTGAAAAGGGGGCATAGGAACAATATCTCCCTCTTAGTGAAGCTGTGAAAACTTAGAGAGATAATAGTACCAATGAATGTTATGAAGTAAAGCTTTGTTTTGGTTTCTATTATTAAGGAATTGGTAATCAAGTTAGAATCAATATTAAAATTTTCAACATTTACAAAGGGAAACACAATTATGGTAAGATATTCCTTCTGTTGATATAATATTCAAATAAGCAAGCTTTACCCAAGTCTGGTTAAGTTCTATTTAAAAATGTCTACTTGCTTACAAATCATTATGTATGCATTAATGTAGGTTTTTTTAACATACAATTTATTTCACATCTTTGAAAACAATGAATTGCTTTTCTTTTAACTTTTTTTTTTAAGACTGCTCAATATAACCATTCCAGCCTACTGAATTCATGGTATATACATTTCACAATGTATATATTTCACTGGCAATAGTATAATTTAGGTAGATGGAGCAATTTCTAGGCCACATGAAAATTAGTTAAAACTTTCAAATCTTGACATTATCTAGAAAATGTTTTCAATGTATAACATATATGTATGTCTAATGCAGAGTTCCACTGTGATTTAATGATTCAAAGGGGATGTAAATGAAAAGAGGTAGGTTGTTTGGATGGACTGAACCTTTGCTTGGCTTGCATAATCCAGCACCTTAAGCTTCTTTATAATGTTTATATAGTCCCTTTCCACACATTTACAAAATTTCAAAAATGAAGTCTCCAGCCAAGTAGAGAGAATGTGGAAATTTTGCATCTTTTTACAATGAATCCTGTGGGATATTTAAAACAGATACAGAGGGAAGATAACGAGTAGCTCTGTTGCTATTTTCTGCACTAATATTAATGGACAGCATCCAAGGGTAATTCTTCCACTCTAGCTTAATTATAAAACGCTGATGAGGCTTTCATGTCATAATTAGCATGCTTTCGGTTATTTTATCTTTTACCTCTGGGTCAAAATCTGGCCCATTGACTACTTTTTGTCAATGAGTTAACCATAATTTTTAAGTGGTCTGTAATTATAACAGTGTTATTGGCCATCTATTCTACAAACAAATCACACATATTATATCAAGGTGGCAGATTGCTAGCATATTAAAGTTAGTGGTATGCTGAGGTGTGGTGTTGTCCAATTTCTATGGTGTAAATATTCCCACTGTGGCTGATTTTAAGCTATCATTTGACAACAGGCTCTCAAAATTTCTATATATGTAACAATTTTGCAAACCAGTCCTCGCTGGCACCAGCACATCACTGAACAGCTGATACTTATCTATACTGGATTTTTATGTTGGACTAATGATACTTTTAATTATCCTGCAATGTCTTCATTCAGATACAACTCACCCATTAAAAGAATGCCCTTATGTATGACTGTTAAGGGCACTATACAGTAGTAATTATGATAATTTAAGTCATAGGCTATTTTTAGAAGCTAATCAAAGTATAAATCTTGTCGCCAAGAAAAAAAGTACAAACTAATAATTAAAAAATCAATTTCAGGGGATTATCGGGCCTTCTGACACTTGTTCATAAGTCTCAGATTAAGAATCTCTGCTATCTCTTTGGTCTACCAACTAATTGGGCAAGCAACCTTCTGAATGTCAGAGCTTCAGTTCACTGAGTCTGTGAATTACTAGAGAGCTCAAAAGTCACTGTCTCATTGGAGAAGAGTTAAATTGCCGGCATTTATCTGACTGACCTCTTCTATCATTATTCTAAAATTCAGAGATCACAAGGAATTCATGAGATGATGAGGTCAGCTATGAGTATAGTTGAAAATTTAGTGTCTCCCTTTGTTCTACTAATTTTGTATGAACTATTATATAAACTAACTCTAGGACATGTGTATTTCAATTTCACTTTGAAATATAAACTTCCCATTTGTATATATGTGCATGTGTATGTATGTGTGTATAGACAAAACCTTAATTAACCCTCACATTTTTCCCCTTTTTTTAATGCTGGGCTTAATTAAACCTATTGCCCCCTGACTTGGCCAAATACCTTTTTTTATATGGTTTCATAGTACTTGTATTTGTATTTTGTAGCATACTTCACAATTAGATTTGAATAATTAACTCTGTAATGGTTTTCAAAAACAATCTCTTCTATTAGAAGCAAACTTTCAGGGTCAAGGAATTCATAACCTGGAGCATGCACTTCACCTACTGTGTCCTTAGTTAAGATCTGTTGAATGAAAGAGTAAGTGAGTTAGTGATAATTTGGGGGTTATAAATTTTTAGGAAAAAAAGGTAGATGAGGAGAAAATAAAAAAGAGACCGAAGTTTTAATCAAGCAACCAAATTACTTCAGTTTTAGTGTTATTTATTTTTCTATCCATCCACCTATAACAGCAGCATTTTTAGGCCTGGGAGTTGATGTTTAGGTCATTGGGAATTGATGTTAAGGATAGTAACCCTATTAGATCTTCATCAAGAATATGTCTACTTTAAAAGGCAAGAAGGAAACTCATTTGTCCTCCATTTCTGAAGTTTTGTTTTGCCAAGTCTTTTCCACTTAACTCACAAATGACCAGAGAGTTCTGCTCACCAAAATAAATCATCACTGGAGAATTATAATTCATTAAAGTTTGGCTTGTGATTAGCAAAACAAATTTTAAAAAATATTGAATCACTTTGGAGATGCCTGTTCAGTTAGGAAATGGTGACATCAGAGACCATGACTCCAATTTTTCAATAGTATGGTTCATTCAATTTAGGAAACATTCAGAGACTAAAAGCTAGAACTTGCCTATCTCAGCATCAGTGAGCCCGGGAATTGGGAAGGGCCTTCTTGCACCGCAGGCACAGCAGGTACACCGCTATAAACTCAACTAATTAAATGGCCAACTGAGGTCAGGCATCCCTGTCAGAAACAAAATCTTCTGGTTCTTAACATGGTTCTCTTTGGAGCTGTTGTTTGGTTCAGTATATTAGAATGTGAAGTCAACTCACTTTCCATGTATTTACGGAGCATCTACCATTGTAATAGATCTATTTCCAGGGTTCTAGCAAGAGCAAAAATGATCACAAGATACCCCATACCTTTGATACATTTACATTCTGGCAAAGCAGGGATATAAATCACAGAATACAAAGCAGAGTGAACAAAAAGATTACAAGACACAAAGTGACAGAGAATTCAGATGCCACATCTATCAAATCAAACAAGGTTTCATGGAAGAGGTACGACATTGAGATGGACATTGAAGGATAGGAAGGATGGAAACAGATGGAGATTGGCGATAAAGAGGGCAGTCTATAAGCAAATATGTGCAGCTGGGAAAATTGCAATATATTTTCATAAGAAGAACACGTAATACAGTTTCTTGAGATGATATGATGGAAGATGAATCAGGAAAGTAGGTTTTTCCCATATTATACATGGGGAGTGTTATTTACGTAATGCAGGATTGAGTAGCTGAAAATAATGGGTTTGAAACCAGTAGTTACCATTTGACTTGTCTTTTTACCAAGATAGTAGTATTCCACACTTCTATTATGAAGTTAGACTTTAGATATCCAAGTTTAGATCAAATTGTGAAAGTAACTAAGTTTGTGTTTGGTATAGTTTATGTATCTTGTGATCTTCCACCACAGCCTTCTACCTCATTTCATTCTTCTCTAGGTAGAACTTGTATCTGATCGCATTCCTGGTGAGGACTGACTGATAATGACTTGGGCATGGGGATGGTGGGGATAAGTTATAAGGATCAATTCCATGTTATGAGGCAGACTCTTGTAAAAATAAAAGTCTTCAGACTCTAAGGAATCATATAATGGCAGAATATGAGGCAGTAGGGTAAATAGTTTGCTGTGGAGGAACTCTGGCATGGACGCTTCAAATCATGGGAAGGAAAACCATATCTACATGTCTTCCTTCTGTGGCTGACAGGGACCATTAGTTGTTAGAGTAACCACAGCCTGACTCAGAGTGAGGATGACTCAGGAAAAACCATTTGCAAGAGTGGAAAATACTCAAAGTATAGCTAGTCATGTTCTCTTTGCTAGTCATGTTCTCTTCATCAACTAGTGAAGGGGCTCCAGGCTGTCAGGAGGTTGTGGGTTTTAGATCCAGGTTTAAGTAGCAATTTTCACATTTGTTTAAAAACACACCTAGAAATGGATATATAAGTTTGGAGAGCCATTTTCCTCCCCCTTATCATATAACAAGGCATAAGTTATGGGCTGACCCTTCCATAACTGTGGAGGCAGAGAGGAATGAGAGTTCCTTTCATGTTGTCTGTCCTGTATAGTGCGCTGTGTGGAGGTGAGAGCTGCTGATGGACAGCTGACAGGGGAAGTGGGGACCCGCCTCTTCAGTCAGCTCCATAAGGTGACATTCCGTCAGGAAGATGTTCCGCTGGACACGTGGCCCTTGTGGGTGATGCTGGGGGTGCCACTGTTTGCAGGAAGGAGAGATCACACTCTGGAACGCTGCTCGGAAGCGGCGAGAGAGTAGGTTATAGATAATGGGGTTGACAGCTGAGCTCAGATAGAAGAAGACACCTGGAATGCAGGGGTTAAATAGACACACCGAGGAGACATTGAGTGAGAGGCATGCTGGGAAGAAGCATAAATATTTAACAAAGCCTAGAATCCCCATGATTGCCTATTTTGGAAGTGATAATATATACAAGACACTAATTGAGGATACAAAATGCTCTGCCAACTGTGTACATAGGAATCAAACACAGAAAGATTAAAGAGTCTTGGCAAATTTTAGGCCAGCAAGGGATCTCTCTGAGATGTTCTGCAACTTCCTTTGATCCACACTTGTTTAATTAAAGAGCATGTTCCCACGGCATTAATGAGTGATGCTTAACTATCAGAGGAAGAGAGATGATTTTTGTCTCATTGGAGTTGTGCTTAAATCTATAATTTGAAACTTGCAAGCAATGGAGGAATGGTAAGTCAGTCAAGGCATTGTCCCTGCTGAGATTCCTTATATGCTTAATATCTCTTCAAAGAAATATTTCCCAGTGCCTCTTCTTATTTAGCTTTTCCCTTCCATGGTTCTTCCCACCTAATTTCCAACCTTATTAAATAACTGCATTTTTCCATTTATTTTCTCCACCAAGTGCCTTGCACACTGCCACTTTCTTGTTTGGTATCTGCTCATCCTTTATTACCATATCCTATTTTATTTCCCCAAAGCCCACAAGGTGCCTAAGGTTGAGAATCAGAGGACTTAGTTTCTGACCTTGGCTTTTGCTTATTCTGAGACCTTAGGCAGAATTGGCATTTCAATTTTTTCTCTGTAAAATGGGAATTATAATACAGGCCTAACTCACCTCCCTGGATTATTGTGAGGATAACATTGAGATACTATCCACAGAGGGATTGAGAATGGTTGAGAATATAAAGCAAGTGACAGGTACTGTCATCAACATGTTCATCATTGTCCTCATTTATTTAGTTCAGGACATGGAAAGTGCTATATGCCCTGTGCACAGAATTGGGAATAAAGGAATAGAGAAGGAAAACATTTCTATGGACTATTAATTCATTCAATAAACAAATATTGATTGAATTCTTATTATGTGCCAGGAACTTTGAGGTACGTTCAAAGGTAATGGATTTAGAATTTGTTTTCCAAGGACTTGGAATAGTATTACAGAGGCAAGATCTCTGCCCTACATCAATAATTAATAATAGAACAATACCAAATAATATCTGTCAAGAGCAAAATATGTCATACCAATAGCCATGTTATGGAAATTCACATAATGGCATAAATATAAAGAGTATGATGGTAATGAAAGATTTAATGGGGGTGATTGAATTCCAGCCAGACCCTGAAGTAGGTAGGAGAGTTGGTCAAGAGAGGAGACAGTTCTGAAGATAGGAGGCATAGCACGCACAAATATGCAGAGGCAGCAGTCATTATGCCCCAGTTTGGCTAAGTGAATAGAGCATCGGCCTGAGGACTAAAGGGTCCTGGTTTCTGGTCAAGGGCACATGCCTGGGTTGCAGGCTCGATCCTCAGTAGAGGGGCATGCAGGAGGCAGCCAAACAATGATTCTCTCTCATCATTGATGTTCCTATCTCTCTCTCTCTCTCCCTCTCCCATCCTCTCTGAAATCAATAAAATATATTTTAAAAATATATTGCAGGAATAATGCGGAATGTGCATAACTCTCTAATCAATCAGTTTGATAAGCATATGGTCAATGATTGGAAGTATTATAACTTGGGGATCAAAAGGCTGGTTGGGGACATTTTCTATAGTGTTTAAGGTTTCACCTGGTTGGTACTGTAGGGGAGGGAAAGATTATATCTTAACAAGAAAATGTTATAAATACCATAATTTGGAAGTCTTAAAATGATCATCTTGATACATTTAGAGAGGGATAGTCAGCTAGTCAAGTCTTATGTGATTTTGTGGTGCTTTTCAGTTTATTTAGTCACCCCATTTTTCTCAGATTATCATGAAAATAAGAGCTGTAAATAATTTTGAGATTTTTGTCTAAAATAATCCTATATAATAAAAGGGTAATATGCAAATATACTGACCAGCAGAACAACTGAACAACCAATCAAAGTGTAATATGCTAATGATATGCTAAGGCTGCTGAACTGCTTGCTATGACGTGCACTGACCACCAGGGTACAGACAGCCAACTGGTTGACCACTTGCTATGATGTGCACTGACCACCAGGAGGCAGATGCTCTGATCAGTAGGTTACCTTGCTGCTGCGGTCCTGCTGATTGGTACTGAGCGAGATGGGCCAGACACACCCTGGAGCCCTCCTGTGGTCCCTCCCCAGCCCGATCGTTCACCAGTGGGGTCCCTCAGCCTGGCCTGTACCCTCTCATAATCCAGGACCCCTTGGGGGATGTCAGAGAGCTGGTTTCAGCCTGATGCCACAGGCCACTCCCCTTGGGAGGGCACCAGACACAGGGCTCATGGCTGGTGAGTGCTGCTGTGGCAGGGCAAGCCTCTCCCTATCAGGACTGATTGGGCACAAGCCCACAGCAGGCACAGTGGGGCCAGGATGAGAAGATAGGAGCTGCAGGCAGCATTGTACTGAAGGTTTCCCAATCCCTGCAGGCCACCCAGAGGGACCCCACCTGTACACAAATTCGTGCACCAGGCCTCTAGTAGTTTAACATAACAGAAAGTTCTAATGTCTAAGTATAAGCTGTACACAAGGCCTGCTGAAAAGAAAAAGGAAGTGTAGAAAATAAATAATATACATGATATTCATATACATATGTTTGCTATTGTTTTAGCTCTGTGCACATCTGGAGCTTAATTTGCACAAATTGATCTTATCTTGCCCCTGTGAACCAGCTGGTGACTAGCAGAAGCTCAGGGACAGAAGTGATCTGAACCCAAGACTCACAGACACACTGACTGAGGAAGGGGAACCTACATGGCCATTCTCTGCTCTATTTTGGGCTCAAGAACTCTGAACTTGAAGTTAGATGATTTTGCCACAACCCTGCTTTTACTATTTGTCAGAAGTTTGCCTTTGGGCAAGCCATTTATTTTCTTGTGGAATTGTTTCTTCAACAGAAAATGGTGATGATAATATGTGGTGATTATAGAAAGATAAATATATAGCATTTTACAGTTTAAAATTTCTTAGTAGCTAATATTTTATTTGCTTCTTACCATCAGTGCATACTTGTAGAGGGAAGATGTCATTGCCATTTTATAGTTGAAGAAACTGGCATAAAGGAAGCCATGTTCTTCAGAAAATTAATGGTGGAAGTGAGATGCAAATCCAGGTCCTCTGACTTAGTGACCTTTCCACCCCTATTTCCACCACATTCTCTAGTATCTTCAACAGGCAGCATTAAAGTAGTCTAAAGGCAGACCTTGACGCACCATGAATATAGTAATACCCTTTGGCTGGCTTTCATGAGGATCTAACACTTGCTAAAAACAATACAAGATTTCAGGGACATGGATGTTTAATAAATAAGAACCAATTCAATCATGTGGTCATTGGAAAGAAAATCAAGGCAATCACTCTTTAGACCATTTTTCTGCTGTAGTCATTGTGCTTAGAGTTGAGGTCTTCCATAAAGTAGCATCTAAAATAGTGATCAGGTATATTTCTTTTGGACCAATAACATACCTAATTGATATTTAAATAAAATAAAAAATCAAATGTCTTCATTATAGTAAGGCAGGCCCCCATGATAAATCAGTATATCCAGACAGAACCTACTGCTCTAAGCAAAATAAAGAAGCTGCAATTACCCGGATACTTGTGATACAACCAAAGGAGCTAAGATTTTACCTGACACCACATGGATGAGATTGAACACAACAGCCAGGGATTCAGTCCACTCCTCCACAAAGCTGAAGAAGAGCCGCTCAATGTGGAATGGGGTCCAACAGATAGCAAACACTAAGACCAAGACAACTGAAAAAGAAGGATGAATGGGAGAACAAAAGGCAGTCAAAACGAGGATAGGTATCAAATGGCCACTAAGTCCATCCATTCCTTCCAGCATTTTCCCTTCTATCTTGGTTATCATTATTACAGACTAACTAGATCACCAAGAGTCTCTACATAAACCATTTAAACATAAGAACGAATTATATAGGACTTAGGATCAGTTTTCTATATGATTGTACAAGATTTCTTATATAATGTAAGTCTCCTCTAGAACATTTTAAATAGTATCAAATTTATTCCAAAAACATTCTATTGTGGAAAGTAAATTATGTTGCAAGTAGACTGTTGGAACCACATAAATTGGCTATACAAATAAAATGGCTGGGTTCAAGAAATTGATCGTAGATTAATAAAAATATTATTGGCTGTAGTATGAATTTATTTGTTACTCTAGAAAGAATTAAAAGCTGCTCTGAATCTAATCATTTAAAATTCTGTAAGGGATGAGAGAGGAGAGAGAGAAAGAGAACAATCATAAGTATAATAATCCTTTACAAGCATCTTTTGATTGGGATAGGGGATGTGTCTATTATATTAGATGTTCCTAGACTACAGAATTGCTTCTAGTTTCTTTTTATTTGTTTTTACTTTTTATTTTGAAATAATTATAGATTCACAAGAAATTGCACTTTCTAGTTTCTTATTTTTAGCTCCCAAAACAGCAATTGGTGCTGCTGCTGTTACTCTATGGGGCATTTAATCTCCACACATATAAATATATATTTTTTCTTCTTCTGAAGTTATGAAATATTTTCCTTTTCCAAAACATGATACTTGAGATTTGCCTCAAAATAATCTTGTAGGGGCAAGAGAGAGACTGATATAGATGGAACAAGATTAGTTATGAGTTGATAATGTTTGAGGTTGGGTAATGGGTACATGGGTGTTATTTTACAGTTCTCTGTACTTGTGAGCACATTTGAGGTTTCTGTAGTCAATAGTACCAATATTTCCTTTGGCATTAAACATATTCAGAGTTAAGTTGTTTACCTGTGTGGTGTGGTTTCAGGAGTATCTGGAAGTTTCTTCTGACTTTAACCCTCCAAGAAAAAGTCCCTAACCTGCTCACTACTGCCTACAATTCCCCGTAATTAAAATTTTAATTGCTTTAAAAATGAACCCTTCATACTAAAGGCAAATGCTTTGCAGCATATTTTATCACTGTGACTTTAACGTGAATGCGCTTCAAGTCTTTTTGTGAGAGTAGATTATGATCAATGAGAAAGGGGAGCGATAATAAAGACATGAGATTTCTTAACAGGGAAAGTCAAGTGCCAACAGGGACTAAAACATTTTCAAGAAGATGAGTCTTAGAATTGAAATGACAAACTTTGGTGACTTGCACAGGTTTTTTGTTGTTGTTGTTGTTCATAAATGCCATATAGTTATGGTGAGTGTTTCATGTACATATTAGCCTGGAGGATTTGTTTCTTCCAAACCTTAGGTTTTGACTTGGAAAGTATATCATAAACCTCCTTTCTCCCATTACTATCTCCTATAGGGTAGCACTGGATCAAATATTTTTATCAAATGCTTTTGGGAGAGTGTGGATCAGTGCCTGATTATGTATTTTTAAACATATTATTTATATAAAATCATGCAATGTCATAGGTGGAATGACCACGTAGGGGTACTCTTGGGCAGCTGTTCTTAATCTGGAGGTAAAGTATTTCATGGAATCCAAGAGTGGGTAGCAGGGGTTTCATGATCGCCTGAAATGAGTTATAAAATGTTTGTGTATGTGATTTGTACATTTTCTAAGTGGCGCACTCACAGTTTTTTTTACATTTTAAAACAAATCAATCCATAAAAAATAAGTTTAAAAGCACCTGCTTATTTTAGAGGGAGAAAGAGATGCTCAAAAGCTCTCAGAGTAGATGTGATTTGCCAAAAAGCACACAGTGTATTACAGTGAATGCAATTTAGTGTGTTGTTTTGAGTGGTAAAAATGGAAATAGGAATCAAAGAGGTCCTAGAAACTTGAGTAAGCCATGGAAGACCAGACCATGATACTACATTTCAGGAGAATTTTGATCCTGATACTCAGAAGCACTTTCTCAGCACCAAATGCAACTCTTTTCCTTTTATAAACACAAACAAACAAACAAACAAACAAAAACACAGTGGAGGACTTACATAGCATTTTGGTGAGTGATTTTCTGTAGGGTCTTTGAATATTTGCAGTTATTTTGTCTGCCTCAAGGGTTTGGTCTTTCTTTAGCTGCAAGGGAAGTGGAAAGAAATGTTAAGAAAGAAAACATTTTCCCTTCTGTTTGGATCTGAGAAGTGTAACTCTAACACACATTCTCAGACCAAAAATTTGGAATAAAAATAAAAATAAGAATTTGTCAAAGTTTAACAATAAGTTGGAGGTGGAGTTGGATCTAGATCATCTAACTCAACTGGACAGGTGGATGTGGCCAAGTTGCAGTACAACCATTTACCATCTGCTATTCTATAGAACCCTTGTTATATATGGCATGTTAATAGGCATTCTATGAAAAATGTAAAATTATGAAGTAAAAAAAAAATGTTTGATAGGCTTTTTCATTCATTTATAAAATAAAAGCCTAAGCGACCATTACAGCGAAACGGCCAGTTGCTATGATGCGCACTGACCACCAGGGGGCAGACGCTCAATGCAGGAGCTGCCCCCTGGTGGTCAGTGCACTCCCACAGGGGGAGCACCACTCAGTCAGAAGCCGGGCTCAAGGCTGGTGAGCACAGTGGCAGTGGCGGGAGCCTCATCCGCCTCCATGGTAGCTCTAAGGAGCAGCGAGCAGGCAGGCAGGCAGGTGGGCAGTAAAAAGCCAGGGGTCCTGGACTGTGAGAGGGATGTCCGACTGCTGGCTTAGGCCCACTCCCCGTGGACATCCCTCGAAGTGTCCTGGACTGCGAGAGGGTGCAGGCCGGGCTGAAGGACTCCCTCCCTCTCCAGTGCATGAATTTCATGCACTGGGCCTCTAGTTCATTCAGTAATTATTATACATCTATTAGAATGTAATCCCTCTGCTATGTGGTGAATAGGCAGTAGAAAGCCAAAACAGGTATTATTTCTGTTTTATGAAGTCTATAGTCTCCATTGTGGGTCTTCTCAGAGCCTTTAATATGCTAATGGGCATTATGAATCTTCATAAAGCATAATATGAAGATTTATTATTTCCTCCAAATTGATCCAATAATATGAATTGGATTCAAATTAAATATTTCCTCCAAATTGATCCAATAATATGAATTGATCCCTTCCCCCATGCCCACCTTCCACACCCTACATCTCTCACCCAAGCCTCAAGGGAGATAATGCTTCTCTGACTAAACAATACCTTCCCCAAACTCCTTTTAGTGGAATACCTAGTACCATCTTGAAAAGCACAATTTGGGAAATATTTACTAATATTACTAACAAGAGTGTATATGTTTCTGAGTTTAGAAATTATAAATACTCATCCTTTTTGGAAGAGGTGGTGATTCTTTAAGTAGTATCTGAACATTTCTTTTAAAAAATATGTTTTTATTGGGTTTTAGAGAGAAAGGAAAGAAGAGGGAGAGAGACAAACATCCATTGGCTGCCTCTTGCTCACCCCCTATTGGGGATTGAGCCTGCAACACGGCACATGCCCTGACTGGAAATCAAATTGGCACCCTCTTGGTGCATGGTTTGACGCTCAGCCAACTGAGCAATGTCTACAATCTGAACAAATTTTTTTAAATTGAAAAAAGTCAATTCAATTCTGGTTGGCATGGGTGAATTCTGTTGCAATCCATAATGCATGCTCCTCAACTCAAGCATTAATGCTGTATGCAGGAGATACAAGGAGTTTGTGAGAGCTTCAGCAGAACCTCCTCCCAGATGGGAGGAACTTGCCCTGGGGTTGGGTATTTTCCATCTCCTTCATGTTTGATGTTTGGAGAGCAGCTCAGTGGAGACTTGTGTCCTGGAAGGAAGCTGCACTGACTACTCAGTTTGGAGCATACATGTGGCTCTCCTCCTTCTTCCTCCATCCTGGGATTTCATCAACCTATAGTTTCCTGCCTCCTGAAGGCAGTGGGTCCCAGAGTCTATCATAACTTAAGATTTGCTAAGGGAATCAATAACAATCATCCTCAGAGTTGCTTAAGTCTCTTTAAAATCTTTTAGATCAAAATAGCCCTTTGAGATAATGTTTCTAAGTCTCTTGTTTTGAAGGTAGAGAAGCTAAAGTGCAGCAAGGAGGGGAATAATTCAACTTCATTCATGCACTCATTCATTCATCTTACAGTCAAGTTGGAAAGATAACAAGGGATATCCAAATATAGAATTTTAAATTGGAATAAATCTAAGGAAGAGAAATCACCAGGAACCATGAGCACCTATACAAGGTCCAGGTGTAGTTAGGGAATCAGGGAGAACTTCCCTGAGGAAGTGTGAGTGAAATATGATTTAAAGTTAGAAAGTTAGAAAAGTAAAAGGAATTGTAGTGGTAGACGGCAGGAACATTTCAGGCAAAGATAGAGCAAGTATAGCATGTGCAAGGCCTTGAGCCCAATGACACAGACTAGGACATATCTCCTGACTTCAGTCTAGAGATCTTTAAACTCCTCTAGGAGTGACTTTCTAAGCAGGGAATTCCTTCATCCTTCCTGAGAACAGGAGGCTGGAAGTTGTATTACATTCACAAAGCAAATTTGGGTAGTTTCTAACCTGTTGTCTGAGCTGTCATTTAACTCCTGATACAAGATAGCTGAAGTCTCATGACAACAAAACAAAATGAAACTCAATTTAACTGGTTGGGGCAGGGAAATGTATGTGTTTCCTACTCAAATTAAATATTTCCTCCAAATTGATCGAAGTTAAGTGATTGCTTGGTGTTGGATGAGATGGTATTGATCAGTTTGGGGTGGATATTTCTCATAGGACTCACGGTATTTGGAATCATGCCGAAGTCCTTCCCCCCAAGTGAAATGCACAGAGCATTCTAAAGACATGATTGTGAGGTACTCTGGGAAAACATATGTCTCTGGGAATATAGGGGCCAGCCCTTCAGGAGGAGACTAGCACAGTTCTCTGCCTGATTAGATTTGCTTCTATGTCTAGACATCTGTGTACTTAGAATTTATTCTTCCTATTTAAACCTTGCTATTCACCTTAGGCCCAGTGGGTATTCACCAATGATATGAGAATATATTAATTGTCATGGCATACATGGTGTCCGAACCAAATTGAGGCATATGATGTAAATGTGATGTCAGCTTTGTTTTTCAATTTATAACTCACATTGCTCCTACTCACACATTTTTTCCTTCTTGTTTTTTAAAGGAATCACAGACTGTTAGAGCTATAAGGAGCCTTAACTATAATCTAATGTGACCTTTTCATTTTATAAATGTGAAAAGTAATTCCAGAAGTCGTGTGGCTTGCCTAAAGGCACAGTGGACGTGAGCTTCAGACCTGAGAGTCTAAATAGCCTCACGATTGTTTCCTACACAAGCCACCTCCTTAAATGGGTATAAAACTGTCACAGGCAGACGTCATCTCTATGAATTTGGATGCAGAGTATACTAGGAGAGGAACAACATAGACTTACTTCTACCCTCATCAAAAAACAGTTTCTCTCAGCTTATTTAGACTCAGAAAAAAAGAAAAAAAAGGAAGAAATTGATTTATGTGCACAGAAAAGGAATCTCTAAGTATAAGATATGTTGCACAAGCAGTGATAATTTTCTATTAATCCCAGCAATCTCTTATTCACACTGCCTTCTACTCTATTTTATGTGCTCTATTTACCTCCCTACCCCCAAATCTCCACCTTCTCAAGAGAAGGCCAAGTTGATCTGGCTTAGGACATATTTTTGCATTTTCACCTGATATTTCAAACAGAATCAAAGCAATCACAGGACAGTGTCTGATTATAAAACTGTAAATAGAGTGGGGCAAGAGTAGGTTCACAGTTGTTTATATGGAAAATAATATGATAATTAATAAATAATGATTATGATAATAATAAAACAAGAATAAAATCTGTGTTGTGTGTACTCACAATTATAAACCTACTTTTGCCCCACTCTGTATTTGTCTTGGAGTATAAATAGGCAGGAACAGTTTATGTTATACTCAGACCAAGTTGGTGAAAAGGCAGATTTCAATGCAGGCCATAGATCTGGGCAGAAAAAAAGATAGCAGGCTGTGAAACCGGCTCTCTAGGGGTGACCACCTGTGCTATTTAATGAGGCTCCACCTCAGACATACTGAATCAGAATTTCCCCAGGGGAGGGGCTTGCATATTGCTACCCATAGTAAGGTTTCTAGGTAATTTGTAGGAACACCTAGGTTTGAGAACCACAGGTATAGAGGGAAGAATAATAAAGTTGATTTAGAGGAAATAATTTATAGTTTGGGGTACTATTTGTCCAACTGAGGTAAGTCCTTTAACTTCTGGGTTTCCCCTCTGAGCTCATTCTGTTTTACTCTGTGCTCCCTTCCAATTCTGAATTTCTCCAATTCTAAGTTCCTCTTACAAAACTTTGAGTCAGTGAGGAAAAAAAGAAAAAAAAAAGATGCTGCCCTAAGCCAGCCAGCCGCCAGCTGGGATACTCACTCTGAGCCCCATGAGGTAGTAGAGGACACTGATGACAGTCATGGGGAGGATGTAGAAGAGGAAGGAGGTGGCCTGGATAATGAAATTATAGATCCACATGGGCTTGATGACCGCGCAGGTGGCAGAGCCCGGGACCAAAGACCCGTTGGGGAAGTAGTGGAGCTTGATGCCATGGAGGCTGGTGTTGGGCAGAGAGAAGAGAACGGAGAAGACCCAGATGATGCCCAGGACCCTGAGGGCCCTCCTCCGGGTACACTCCAGCTTGGCGCGGAAAGGGTGGAGGATGGCCACGTAGCGCTCCACGCTGACCGTGGTGACGCTGAGGATGGAGGCGAAGCACACAGTCTCAAAGAGGGCCGTCTTGAAGTAGCAGCCCACGGGCCCAAACAGGAAGGGGTAGTTACGCCACATCTCATAGACTTCCAGGGGCATCCCGAGGAGCAGGACCAGGAGGTCCGAGATAGCCAAGCTGAAGAGGTAGTAGTTGGTGGGTGTCTTCATAGTCTGGTGCCGGAGAATCACCAGGCACACCAGGAGATTGCCAGCGACCCCAACCACAAAAATCAGGGTGTACACCACCGTCACCGGGAGGAAGAGGTGGCTGCGCCGAGGCCCACAGACAAAGGTCAGGTAGTCCTCTGTGCTGTTCAGGTATTTCTTGAATGGATCTTCCAGTTCCTGCTGGGGGATCCAGGAGACATTCTCATATTTTTCCATCATTGACATTAAAATCCAAGGCCCAAGTTTCCTCTGGAAAGAGCCTCTGTCCCAAGATGAGACAGAAAGGAAAGAGAAAACCGACAGGGAAACACAGCCCCAGTGCAGGAGGCAGAGGAGGGTGAGTGCTTCTGCCAGGATCTCTTTTGAAGAGCCCCCGAGAGACAGAAGCCCCGCCCCTCCTTAGGCCGTGGGCCAATGAGTGTGTGTCAGGCAGATTAGAGGACAGCTGGGTTGGGCTTGCTGGCTTTGCGTGCAGGGAGCTGGAGAGGAGTGGAGGAGACATTTCTCTGAATTGGAAGGAGCTGACAAAACAGAGCTGACACAGACGGTGGCACTGACTTAAGGTGTGGGCACTCTGAGCAGTGCATTTGGTAAAGTTGTGGGACTCTGGGTGGAAATACAAATTAAGATTGTAGGGTCATGGGCAGAAGAGTGTAAATCTCCATTGATCCTTGTCACCCGTACAGCATGACAAAAATGGGAGATCAATAGATTTCTCAAGTTATCTTGTTCCTTTGGAAATTCAGGACTCCCTGGGGAAAGCATGATCAATGTGCCTTTTTGGTTTTGATTGCATCCACAATAGGATGAAAAGCCGAAAAGAACACTTGCCTGTCATCTAGCCCTGCCTGCTGTCTGACACTTTAATCTCCTTTGGCAGTGCATTTTGCAAAGGGCAGTGAAGTTTAGAATCAGGCACACCCATAGAAATCCTGTGAGACTTGGTGGAAGTTACTCAAACCCTTGCAGCCTCATTTTCTTATCTGTAAATTGGAGGGTCATTCATTCAATTTTATTCAACACATACTTCTTGAAGATTCATCATATACTGAGCTTTGTAGAAACATCAGTGAATAAGCAATACAAGTCTCTCTCACATGGATGTTCCTCTCAGTATCTCTCTCTCTCTCTCTCTCTCTCTCTCTCTCTCTCTCTCTCCCTCTCTCCCTCCTCTCTCTAAAAAATCAATGGAGCCTGGTCAGTGTGGCTCAATGGTTAGGCATAGACCTATTAACTAGGAGGTCATGGTTTGATTCTTGGTCAGGGCACATGCCCAGGTTATAGGCTCCATCCCCAGGAGGGGATGTGCAAGATGCAGCCAATTAGTGATTCTCTCTCATCATTGATGTTTCTATCTCTCTCTGAAATCAATAAAAATATGTTTTAAATGACTCTTTAAAAAAAAGGAATATAAGAATGGCAACACTTTTCAGTGAGATATGTGCCCTTCCTTACTTCTCCCTCAGGCTCTCCAGCTGTGGTTTGTCTTTGATTATTTCAATAAAGAGTCTAGGCCAGAGAAGAAAATGGGGAATAGATAGTTGGGTAGCATTGGATGGAAGTCCTAAACTCAGCAGTCAGAAAACCTGAATATAAATCCCAGGCCTACCATCAAGGGGATTATGTTTGGTCTAACGTGTCCTTGAGCAAGTTGTTTTATATGTAGGTACGTCTGTGTCCTAATGCATGAAAGTATGGGTTGTGAGCTCCAATGATACTTGGGGAAGATACTTTGTAGCTTCCAAGAGATTTTTGCAATTTCTTGCTTAAATGGTCAGTCTTCCCACTAAAGACTTAAGATGTCTTATTCACTATTCTACGTCCCTGGCTAGCATACTGCTGCCACATAAAGAGCATAAAGAGAACTCAATCAAGTTTGGATAGATGGATGGATACACACATGAAGGAAAGGAGGAGGAAGAAAGAAAGGCAAGGACAGCAGGCTGGCTGCTTGTGTGACATTAGAGTCTTATTTGTGATCATCAGGTTTCCTACCATCTCTTTCTGGTCTTCTGTTTCTTTCATAGGTTTTGGGTTTTAGTGATGATACTACACTGGTTACCAGTGTAGTAAAAACAACTGGGGCTCTGTGGTCAGGCAGACCTGGGTTTAATTTTGCTGCTTGAAACTATATGACCTTGGGCTAGTTACATACCATATCTAAGCATCAATTTTCTCCTCATAAAAATGGGATTCGCAATTCTTAATTTAGGATTGTTCTGAGGATTACATGCAAAATAGCTTAGCATGGGGTTTGGCATACAGTAAGCATTCAATAAATGCTATTTTCCTGCACTAACAGTTCAAGGAAATTGATCTACTGATGCAAAGATTTGATAAATGGCTGGTGTAGTAGTACATGGTAGGCATTCAATACGTGGTTTGAAGTAGAATGCATAAATATAGTATTGATTTTTGTCTTCACTCACATTTTAGTTAAAGGTGATTATAATTCTGTAGTTATTTTTATATGATTAAATTTTAGTTTATTATCTTTTATTTTAAAATGTTGATTGTATAACTTCTGCCTTTTCAAAAAATTTATCTTTATTGTTGAAAGTATTACAGGTTGACACAAAAGGTGTCTCCTTTGTTTTTGTTTTTCCCATTAAGCCCCTCCTCCCGCACCGGCCCCTCCCAAGCCTTCACCACACTATTGTCTGTGTCCATGGACTACGCATATACACATACATATAAATTCTCTGATTAATCTTTTTCTCCCCAACCTCCCACCCCCATCTTCCCTCTGAAATCAACAGTCTGTTCCATGGTTCTATGTCTCTGGATCTATTTTGTTCATCAGTATATATTATTCATTAGATTTCACATGAGTGAGATCATGTGATACTTATTTTTCTCTTACTGGCTTATTTCTCTTAGCATAATACTCTCCAGGTCCAGCTATGCATATTACAAATAGTAAGAGTTCCTTCTTTTTTACCTCCATGTAGTATTCAATTGTGTAAATGTACCACCATTTGTTTGTTTGTTTGTACCACCAATTTTTTTTATTTTTTATTCATCATCTGCTAATGGGCACTTGAGCTGTTTCCAAATCTTAGCTCTTGTAAATTGTGCTGCTATGAACATAGAGTTGCATATATTCTTTCTGATTGGTGTTTCAGGTTCCTTAGGATATATTCCTAGAAGTGGGATCACTGGGTCAAATGGCAGTTCCATATTTAATTTTTTGATGATACCCCATATTGTTTTCCACAGTGGCTGCACCAGTCTGCATTCCCACCAGCAGCGTACTAGGGTTCCCTTTTCTCCACATCCTAGCCCACACTTGTCATTTGTTGATTTGTTGATGATAGCCATTCTGACAGGTGTGAGGTGATATCTCATTGCTGTTTTAATTGGCATCTCTCAGATGGTTAGTGACTCTGAGCATTTTTTTACATGTCTTTTGGCCTTCTGTATGTCCACTTTGGAAAAGTGTCTAAATTCTGCCTTTTGAAATTGAATTTTTTTTCACTTTGTTTTGATCTGTGATCAATTTTTTAAATGTATGAAAACCCAAAAAGAAGATATATTTGTATATGAATTAAAATCTGATCTATAGCCATTAATTTCATCTTATGGACTAAATCAGTTAACTTCCTTTGATGGAAAGCATTAATAATGTTGTAGAAGCAAACAAATAAATGAACACGCTTGTTTACCTGCACATATTGGGTAATTCACAAAATTAAAGGATGAGATAAATAGCCTGGCCTCAAGCAGGAAAGAAACCAGGTTATCTCTGAAGGTGCCCTCATGGATGGTATCTTTGGGAGGCTGTCATCTGGTGCTTTATTTTCTACTATATTCCCTTTCTTTGGATCTCTGATGATCCATTGAATTATCCATTGAGTGGATAATAATCCATTCAATTATTCCAGCTAAAACCTAGGTCCATTCACATTGATAAAGAACATCAGTATAGGTCTGATCTTAGGGGTAAAAGAGCATGCATTTAATTTTGGGCATGCTGGCTTTGATATGCCTTTGTGACAGCTATGTATAAAGTTACAGAGGAGGTTGAACATAGGTTTCTAGAACTCATAGGGAAGGTCTCAACTGGCAATCGAAATGTGTGAGACTTTGCTTGTAAAAGATAATGAAAACTGTTGGAATGGGTGAGGTTGAGTGGGGAAAGGGTATAGATGTGAAGGGGATGTAGATTGAGCCTTAAGAAAGTTCAAGTTTCTGAGTTTAGAAACTTTTAAGATTTAGTAGCAAGACAGAGGATGAATCTCCTAAAGAGCGGAGAAGAGAAAGAGGAGTGAAACCAAGACTGGGCCAAGAAGGTCAGGTCCTCTAAGAAGTCAAGACAAAATCAGTGATGACTTTATAAAAGGTGTACATTTCAATGATGGGGAAGTGCAGACTGCACTGATATAAAGACTTAGAGAGAGGTGAGGAAATTTTATTAACCAGTAGAAGTTACAGAAATTATCTTGAGAAGTTTAGCTGTGAAGGGGACGAAGCAAGATGAAATTGTGGCTACATAGTGATTATATATATATATCTCGCTTAGTCTGATATGCTCTTTTACTAAATCCTGCCTCTTCAACCAAGGGCTTTCAGAGTAAAATCTTTTCTTCTTTGGTGGGAAGGAAATTAATGGAGATAAAAACAAATACAGAGACCCTTTTCCTCCTCATAAGGCAGTAATTTTTAAAATAACCATGGTTTCCTTGGCCAGTGTGGCTCAGTTGGTTGAGAGTTGTCCCATGCACTGAAAGGTCACTGCTTCAATTCCCAGTCTGGGCACATTCCCAGGTTGCTGGCTCAATCCCTGGTCAGGGTGCATGCGGGAGGCAGATAATTGCTGTTTCTCTCTCACGTCAATGTTCCTCTCTTTCTCTCCCTCTAAAAAACAACAACAATAAAACATATTTAAAATAAAATAACCATAGTCACCTGGATTCATGTTTGGGTATATTGGTTAAAAATAGAAGTTCCATTAATTAAGTTATCTTCATGCTGTAAAATGTCTAATCTCTGAGCAAAAGGCAAGCCTAAGAACATCTTGCCAAAATGTCCTGTGCCCTTGATGTGTGCTGGGTCCTTTCTAGAGTACCCTGGGAGCTGAGAGCTCTGGCTACACAGAAGGAACAGTGTTATGTTCTCCTGTTGTTCTCCATCTGCTATATTTTGTAGGTCTGCCAGAATTTTCCCAGCATGATTCCTCCAAATTTCCCATTTCATCCCAAATTACACACATCTCAGCCCTGGCAGGAAGGTCCTTGTTTAGAAATAGTTTTGGAAATAGCAGAAATGTTTGACA